TACACAAATGTACGATGGAGAGCTGCGCTTTGTCACATAGATGAAGTGTCAAACTGATCTCTGAGTTTAGGACATGAGTTCCCTATTCAAACAGGAAGTGGACCGGGGCCTTCCCATGCTCACCTCCAGTGTCTGATCTCTTGTCTCCCTGCACACAACAACAACGCTTGTGTCCTGGTTCACTGTAGTCCATCGTATGTAGGCCAATATGTGGAGACAAAGAGGAAGTAGTGCAGTCAGTATAAAGTTGACTGGTTTTCCCCCTTTATAGACATAATAAACTCCACTGCCATTATTAAGAATGTCCTAAAAAGATCACAGGATGAATCGCTGACGCCGACGATAGTGACAATGAATCCCGTCTCAGCGGGGGAGGCTCCAGTGCTTCCTCTTTTATCCGCCGTCCTGTGCACTCAGGAGTCGTGTTTGAAGTGCATCGCACGGCACAGATTCACAAAGAGGCAAGTAAAAGCTTCTGCTGTAATGATGTCACAGAGAGCGTTGGAAAGCTAAGTGGACCTGAATTAGGTCTTTACTCTAACACAGCCTTTTCTATGAAAGGAAGATTATTTAACGTGATGTTTTCTTTCTTTTTTTATCAAAGCAAACATTCTTTGCCATTTTTAATTGAGAGATTAAAAAGCTGCGCGGCATAGAGATGCTTATTGTTGACCGCGGCCTACATCTGGGCACGTTTGTGATGAGCCCCATGACTTACTGAGAGGAAGGCAGCATCATGGATGCAGAAAAAGATCCAGAATGATGGATTTAGAGATACGAGGCAGATGGATCATTCTTTAGGACTTATCTTCTCTCATTTCAACATACACACAAATCCTAGGAGCACAAGAAATTCATCATCGTGACCGTGTGTCCTGTGGCCCATACCTTTTCAATCACAGCTGGACATGTTGAACATTTAGTTAAATAATCCATATCTGAAGAAGGGTTTCAGCTAAATCCTGTCAAAGGCTGTCGCATCCGAAGCTGGCATCCTGTTCTCCAGTATCTAATAAGTTTCATTATTTATTTGGATCCTCGTTACCACTCACCAACGCGTCGGCTAGCCCCACTCCACATGTGGGCCAATGCCTTTTTGCTTAATTTTTACGCTCATCTCGCTCATTCGCTTCGCATGCATGCACCCTGTTATCATCGTCCTACTCAGGATATCGTCACTGCATGGGAGTTGTTGCATGCACTCATTAACTGGACTAAATCAGTAATATACTGTTGTAGCAGATGTGGATATTAACCAGTATAGTATGGGCTGTAACCACAATATCCCATTTTTGTGTTGGGGTGCTGTTTCCATGGAGTTGTGAGTGTCAAAGTAACGCACCACTACAAAACGCAGTAGGAAAACTATTCAATATTAAAAGACAATCTCCCTCCAAACTGGAATAAACGGTGTACTGGTTGTTTCATGCAATATGTAAATATGTACCCAGTAAAGAACCAGGATGTCATTTTCAGAATATTATTGTGCATGTACATAGTTCCTCTCTGTCCTATCGGTAGGATTTGATCAATACTAGTACTCTTATCGATACTACTTATCGGTTTCTTTTTGATTATATTCTGAGAAAAAAAGACAATTGATAAAGAAAATAATCAACATGCTTGTGAAAAATCAACACTGTTTTGTCCACCCGATACAGGGTCTCTCGCTGGAAGTTGTTCCACCAAGGTGGTTATCCACCCAGAACCCAATACATCTTATTTCATGATCAATGAAGTGAGGCGATACCCACGCTTTTTGCTGCGTTGGTCAAATGAAGAAACGGGATGACTGCAGTTGACTGTGATTGTTATTTATAGTCGGAGCGGACGTCACCAACCCGTTGACTCACTCGCAGTTGCATCAACACTTCCGCTCATTCCATTGCCGCAGCCACCCCGGACTTGTGCGCTCTCATATTTATATTATCACAGGGTCGCTCTCCGTTGCTGTCCTTGCTGATGTCCGAGCCTCCGAGTAGACCACGGGGTCAGCGTCGTAAGGAAAACAAAGCCGCCGGTCTGGAGTTTCCGCAAGGCTCCGTCTCGCCTCTCCGGGGAGCGTAGGAATGTACCCGCCATTTAGGATATGCAGACCCCCCCCCCCCTCTAAATGTATTGAATGGTGTGTTGTTGGTGAAGCCAGCACACGGCTGAAGTCTCATTCTACTACATTCTTACGAGCCTGCGTCATGCTGTTTAACTGTAAAATGCAATGCGAGGTCAGGATGTTTGCTCCGGTGTCCACAGGGAGTCCTGAGCTGGTCCTTCCTGCTGTCTCTCTGCCGTGTGTCACCACTTTATATTAGAAAAATCTAATTCAATGCTGAAGCAATTAATCGATAAGCTGGCTGACAGAAAATTAATCGACAATGTCTTTGCTAATTGTTTATTTCATTAGGCCTACAAAGTTTTTCTCTTTGTATAATTGTAAATTGAATAAAAGTATTTTAACTATTGACCAGAAAAAGAACGCGCCATTGGAAGACATCACATTGAACTCTTAGAAACAATTGTAACACGTATTTTTTGGCTATTCTAGGACATTTAGTACGCTAAAAACATAATCGGAGACAAATGCCTAATAAAAATGACAGTGATGATAAGTTAAAGTTATTTTTCTCTATTAATCGTCTGGTCTACAAAATGGCAGAAAGTGGAAAATGACGACCATAGTTCAGTTTACGGAACACTTGGGTAGCAGAAAAAATTCCCATTTGTGAAACTGGAAAACGACTCCCAACAACTAATCGATAGTCAGAATAGTAGCTGATTCCTTTGCTTTCAATCACTAATCGGTGCAGCTCAAAGAATAGCCAGTAGTTAGTACCTGTATGATTTGTAGGAACCATTAATGCTGTGTGCTCACATCAGTTTGTTCTCGCGTAAAATCATGTTAAATAGAAATTTTACAGCGTACAAAATGATACACTGATCCCGGAGGGAATATTGAAAAGCTACTGCGGTCCTTTACTGCTCGGGCCTATTCACACAGATGTCTCTTTAAGGCTGCATGCTCGTCCCTGGGCTGTGAGAGTGAGCAGGGTTATCACTGTGCGCTGTGTGTGTGTGAGAGTGAGAGAGAGAGAGAGGGTGTGTGTGTTTATGTGTGCGTAAGCGAGGCTTTTGTGAATTCACCGTAGAAATCCCTGAGCCCTGCTCTCCGTGGGCAAGATTTGCAGTTGCTGCCTCTGCAAACATTGGCTCTGCATTAGCAGAGATTCTCGTCCGTGATCCCTCTTGTGTGAGTGTGTTTCACTGTCTGTCTTTCCTCACCCATATCGCTCACCATCACCTCATCATCCACTGTCGTCCTTCTACAGGTGAAAACACACTCTGAATGTGGTGCATACACACACACACACACACACACACACACACACACATTCAAATACTTTAACTCAGTTCTATGTTCTTTTTAGAACATAACATTCTTCAGTGTCGGCTTTTCAGCTGTGTTTTGTTCCGCTTCAGCCGGCGTGTGTGAACACACCATTGTGTTTGCGTGTTACTCGTTGTTGTTTGTGTGGTGTGATTCAAACTGGGGCACACTGTATATGGGGAGAAGTGACATCGCATGCGACAGTGTTTCATCTGTGACTCCCACACACACGAGACAGACACACGCCCAGACCTTCACCGACAATGTACGACGAACTATCGAAGCAGCGGTGCACTGATTTACATCAGTCAAGCAGTCGTCCTGTCAGATAATTAGGCTACATCTCTTAACTGAGCCTATGAAAAGATGCCAATGACCTAGTTAACATGGTCTCGAGGGTCGTGCTGTTCTAGCTGAAACACTGGCGATTATAATCTGGTTATTCTGCTAGATATTGCTCAGGCAGTTTTCTTTTATCACTTAACCTAAAAATCTGGGGAACCAACTACTCCTCTAGTATTTTATATCGGTGTTTTGACATTGTTCAGCAACACACATAAAGGCTCTTCGGTAGTGTTGATTGAATGCCCATAATTCCACGATTATCAATCCTCGACTCTAAAATATGCTGACGTGACATTAACAGCAATGTTTTATTCCAAGAACCAGGAGTGAGAGTTTTCTAAGTAAAAACCTGCGAGACACGTCGGAGTACAAACTTCCTATCGGTGCGTGAATATGCATGCAGGAGAGTGTCAAATCTGTGCACATGTACACACACACGCACACACAGGGTTGGGGCTAAGCAGGCCTGTGCCCTGCTGCGAAGAGCGCCCCCACACTGTGCGCTAATGCAAGTCTGTGGTTGTGAATTAATAATTCAGAGCGCTGGCATAGCTGGGTGGAGCCTCTATTATTCATGGTGGGCATTGGAACCGACAGATGACTGTTGTTAATATTAAGCAGCGGCAGCCGTCCGCCATCCTCAGTCTCTCTCCTCCGTCCTCCACACCCCTCTACTCCACTTTACTCCTTGTATTACTGCGCCCTTCCTCTCTTGATCTCTGTCCTCTCCATCTGCGTGCATCTCTCTCTTTCTCTCTCGCTCTCGCTCTGTATCATCCCCCTGTTCTACATTTCCCCATGTCTGTTGTTGTGCTGTCTCCTATTCATTCTCTCTCTCTCTTTCTCGCCGTGAACTCTGAATTCAAATATGCATCCTCGGAACAAAACCTTTCTTGAATTTCGAAAAATGTCAAATGGTTTAAAAGTTTAATTTCCGATCAGACAATGTTGCGTAAAAGAAAAAAATACAGATATTCAGCTGGGCCTGAAATGCAGCTCAAATTCATAACTACTTGAACAGAGTAATGAACGTCAGGGCAGCTTCACTCAACTGACTTTTACCACGTTTTATACGAATACGGCCAAATCATATATTTCAGGTAATTTCAGGGAGGATTGCCGAGCAGAAACGGTTGCACAGTTTTCCAGTGCCCCCGATTTGGACCGCTGTCTTCTCTTGTGTTGAACGTGACAAACCTGATGAGTGCGTCTCATGTTCCATAAGAAAGTACAGCTCTTACTCCATCTGTCCTTGTGTCTACCTTCTTTTCAGAGGCTGCACCCACCCAATCTTTTTTGGGATCAATTTGGGATTACTGTGTGCTCAGGTAATCTGTATAATCTCTCTTTTATTTTTGGAGCTAAATAGTATTCCAGTGTACTTTGTGATTTTTCGATTTTCGCCTTCAGCTTCTCCCTTTCAGTCTCCATTTTCTCCCTACGTTCCTCCCTCTCCCCCTCCTGTTTTTTAGTCCAGTGAGTCTTTTTTTCCTCCATGGTGTCAGTGCTGCTGCCTCTGAATGCTTCTTTTTATTTGAAGAGATTTGGAGCTCCAGTCACCACTAATGCCGCTGCCATATTGTACCAGCACCCCGCTGTGGCTGCTGCTAATGACATTCTTTGTGTCTCCACCCTCGTGCTTCGCAGCCTCGTCTCCTCCTCCTCCTCTGGTCTGAATGGAGGGCTTGTCATGTGTTGCCATCAAAGGAGGAGGAGAGGCAATGAAAGCAGCGGCAAGCAACTGCCCCCCC